TTGAGACAACCACTGTACTTAGGGTGTCCAGCAGAAGCGCTTTCCTCAAAGCATGGTCTCCAGGGCAGCAGCAGCATCACCAAGGGACTTGTTAAGAATATAAATTGTTGGGTCCCATTCTAGACTTATGAACTTGGAAACTCTGGGGTGAGGGCAGGTTGTCTGTGTTTTCCATCCCTCCAGGAGATTCTGAATCCATCTAAATTTGAGAACCACTACTGCAGCCTTAAAGCAATGGTTCTCAGTCTTGGTTGCAGATTAGAATCACCTAGGGAGTTAAAAAATCTCCAATGCCTAGTTATTCTTCATCAATTAAGTCAGAATCTCTAAGGGTGAGACCCAAAGTATCAATAAAAGTTCTCCTAAGGATTGCAAAGTGGAGCCACTGCCTCAGGCTGTCGTTCTCAGACAGTTCTCAGCTATGTTCTTGGGTGGTACTGTTACCTATCAGATAGGGAGCTCTCTGGCAAGTTCCTGGAGTGCTAATAACCAGCTTGCCACTGTGGAGAGAAAAATCAATGTGTTTTCAGAATCATTGTCCCATCTTGAATAGTCAGGAAATCCCAAATGGTGAACAAGGAATTGTCCTAACAGAACTCAAGAATACTTCTGATTAGTTACACCTCTCCTTTAGGCAAGTGGAAACCCAGGCTGGTCTGGTGAGGTCTCTGCTCTGATTGCCAACACAGCCTCCCTTCAGCTGCCAGGGCTGGCTCCTTCCATGGCCTGCGGGTATCCTAGTTGTCTTAAGTTATCAGTTCTCGCCCTTACCACATGCAACATTCCTATGCTATTTTTTATCACTCTTTTACCATTCTCAAATGAAATACGTATGTCATACAACCTACCTACACTCATTAATTGGAAAATTGATTTAATGCCCTAACTATATTATAAAGGATGAATAACATGAGATTAATTTATAATAAATATAGGTATGACAATACACAAATATTTGGGAACATTGGCAGACATAGTAAAGTTGTCAGGTTTAAAAATATACTAATGTAGAGAGTATGGTATAATGGACTACATGCTTCCTTAGTACCCAGCTTCGACAGTTGTCAATTATCAATAGCCAATCTTTTTCATTCTTACCAAGGCTACTTAAAATGTGGTCCGTGACCAGCAGCATCAGTATTACCTGGAAGATTGCTAGAAATGCAGATTCATTGATCTTATTCCAGACCACTGAATCATAATCTCTGAGGTAGGGCCCAGGAATCAGTTTTTAACAATCTCTCCAGCTGGTTTGTATATACTCTGTGGTCTCAGAACCACTGATCTATATAACATCCCTACCTTCTCAGATTTTAAAGTGAATTCCAGATAGCACCTAGATATATTATTTTATCCATAATTACTTTAACTTTAAAAACTATAACTACATACTGTATATCACCTAAGAAAAGTCTAACTTTATTCCTTTTTTAAGTATTTTATTTTTAATATTGTAATAGATTTAGGGGTATAAATTGTTTTTTGTTACATGGATGAATTGTATAGTGGTGATGTCTAGGCTTTTATTGTACCACTCACATGAGTAGTGTATGTTGTACCCAATAGGTAATTTTTCATCTTGCACTCACCTCCCACACTGCTGAGTCTCCAATTTCCATTATGTCTCCCTGTATGACTGAGCATACCCATTGCTTAGCTCCCACTTGTGAGAACATGAGGTATTTGGTTTTTTGTTCCTAGGTTACTTCACTTAGGATAATGGCTTCCAGTTCCCTCCAAGTTGCTTGAAAAGACATTAATTTCATTCTTTTTCATGGATGAGTAGTATTCCATGGTATGTGTGTGCACATACCATATTTTATTATAATTCCTTAATATCACCAAATGTATAGAGTTTAAAATTTTTTCTCAGATACTTTTTTTTCTCTCAGATATTCTTAAATGTTTTTGTAGTTGATTTGCTTGACTCAGTTCAAACAAAGCCCATATATTGCATAAGGTTGATATGTCTCTCAAAATCTCTCTTAATCTGTATTCTTTTTTTAAAAAAATGTTTCCTGCCATTTGTTTGTTGAAGAAACTAGGTCATTTGTCACATAGTTTCCCATATTCAGGATTTTGCTAATTGTGTCCCTGTGTGTCATTTTGTCATGTTCCTCTTTTCTCTGTATTTACTGTTTAGATCTAGAGGCTTGATATCTATCAGGTTTGGTTTTTTTGGCAGAATGGAGCTATGCCAATATTTCACAGATGGAGCTATGCCCTTCCTATTTCATCATAGCAGAAAGCACATCAATATCTGGCTGTTTCTCTTCTTCGGTTAAGGTTGATTAGTGTGCTCAAGTGTTGAAAGCATGATCTATTCTATATAAAAGTTTCCCATCAGCCTTTTTTTAACCTAATAGTCTTAGCAGACACTGATGATCATTGCTTAGGTCCATTCTTTCATTAAGATGCAAAAAGGAGATTTTTTTTTTTTTTGAGACAGAGCCTCACTCTGTCACCATGGGGAGAGTGAGGTGGCTTCATCATAGCTCACTGCAACCTCCAACTCCTGGGCTCAAGTGATCCTCCTGCCTCAGCCTCCAAAGTAGCTGGGAGGTGCATGCCACCACATCTGGCTAATGTTTTCTATTTTTGGTAGAGACGGCGTCTCACTCTTTTTATTTATTTATTTATTTTTTTGAGACAGAGTCTTGCTTTGTTGCCCAGGCTAGAGTGAGTGCCGTGGCGTCAGCCTAGCTCACAGCAACCTCACACTCCTGGGCTCAAGCGATCCTTCTGTCTCAGCCTCCCGAGTAGCTGGGACTACAGGCATGAGCCACCACGCCCGGCTAATTTTTTCTATATATATTAGTTGGCCAATTAGTTTCTTTCTATTTATAGTAGAGACGGGGTCTCGCTCTTGCTCAGGCTGGTTTTGAACTCCCGACCTCGAGCAATCCGCCCGCCTCGGCCTCCCAGAGAGCTAGGATTACAGGCGTGAGCCACCGCGCCCGGCCGGCGTCTCACTCTTGCTCAGGCTGGTCTCAAAGTCCTGAGCTCAAGCAATCCTCCCACCTCAGCCTCCCAGAGTGCTAGGATTACAGGTGTGAGCCACCACACTTGGACGTGATATTCTAATTTTTATCATTTTTCTGCATTTATTATCTGACATATAAAGAACTTTCTCGTTTTAAGTATTTGTATAGGAAATATAGTTCATACAAGAAATATAGTTTATACAGGAAAAAATAATAAATTTATATGCTAGCTATAATTTTTACTTTGAATATCACTATACACTATGGATTTTAATATATTTGGTATTTTTAATTCACTTCAGTCATCATTCAGTATGATGCTGAAATTGTCTTATCTTTGCCAGATGGAGCTTCTTCAAGTTGGCTCCCGGGTTCTTCTGACACAACCTTAACAGTGTTTGATACCTTCCTTACTTTTGGGTATGAAAAGATATTTCAAGTTCATCTTATATATTTCCCACACCATCCCTGGAGTCAACTATATCATGAAGAAGTTTTGGTTCCTTTTACTGGGAAATGGTTTTTAGAGGGACTCATTGCTATAGGACTGACTGTTGTTCCTAGTCCTTTTCAGTGAAAAGAGCTAGGAAATTCATATTTTAAAAGAGAAAATTACATCTTGAGAATATATCAATGCTTCCAATTTAAATATAAGACTATTTATTGGAAGTTTAATTCTTTTATTTTATTTTATTTTTTGAGACAGAGTGCTGTGGCGTCAGCCTAGCTCACAGCAACCTCAGACTCCTGGGCTCAAGCAATCCTGCTGCCTCAGCCTCCCGAATAGCTGGGACTACAGGCATGTGCCACCATGCCTGGCTAATTTTTTCTATATATATTAGTTGGCCAATTAATTTCTTTCTATTTATAGTAGAGACGGGGTCTCACTCTTGCTCAGGCTGGTCTGGAACTCCTGAGCTCGAGCCATCCTACTGCCTCAGCCTCCCAGAGTGCTAGGATTACAGGCGTGAGCCACCATGGCAGGCCTAATTCTTTGATTTTATATTTGCATATCTTTCCTCTTACACCAAAATTCTTGGTTCCTAATGATACTGACATAATCATTTATTTGCTTTATCCATGTATACATAAAAATATTTTCAAAATAATATCAATATTAATAAAAATATAACAGAATAAAATTATCTTAATGCTTATTAACTATTCTGAAGTTCTTTTTTCCCCTTCCTTACATAAGTGGAACATACTATATCCCACTGTTCTGTACCTTTGTTTTAATGTTGTATTTAACAATATATACTAGAGTTATTCCATAACAGTATTTGGAGATATTACTCGGTCCTTATCATAGCTGCATAGTACTCCACTGTGTGGATCTATTATAATGTATTCAGACCAATCCTCCACAACAAATGTTTGCACTGAAAGATGTCTTATACTGTTACAAATATTGCCATAATTAGTGTCCTTGCATATGTATAACTGAATATTTTTGTCACATTTTCTTTCTTTCTAGGATAGATTCCTAAAAGTATTTTGGCTCAAAGGTAAATGAACTTTTAACTGTGCTAGCTATTGCTAAATTCCCCCTAGAGAAATTGTATAGTTTTTTATTTCTGCCAATAATGTGTGAGAATTCCACATGCTTAAAATGACTAAGGTTGGATTTTAGAGAAAACATTCAAAGGAAATACTGTTGGCATTTTTCTTTATATTTCCATTTTGAAATAAGGGTTGAGGCATATTTGTGTACATGCATAAGACAGGCGCAAGTATAGAGACAGTTATACTACTGGAGATTCAAATATCAGGGCACAAATATAGATACCATCATACTGTATTGGTGATTCAAATATCAGGGTATTGTTGCTGCCAGGGATGTAATATTTCAAAATGGCAAAGACAATTGGTAAAGTTCAAATAACATTAACTATAATTTTCTCTTAATTTACATGGCATTTTTATTCTGAAAAATTCAGTAGATATTAAAACCGTTCAAAATCATTTTTGTTTATACTTAAAGTATATTAGATTTTAAACACAGAAAATTCCAAATAATGGTAAAGTGAGGTTTTATTTTTAAACACATATTAATGTCTGTCTGAATATATGAAACTTAAGGGGAAATTCTCTGTTATGTGTCACTGTGGCAGCTATGGGAATGTGCTGCTTAGCTCCCTTTCAAGAGGGAACATGTGGTAAGTTTGGACAGCCTCTTCCTGCCACACCTTCAAAATTCACTGCAGGATTCATGCTGAGGACATACTTTTCCTGGGTTTCTCTCAGCCAATGACTGCATATGGTGAAGGCAGACCATTCCTGCCCAACATGGCTTCCTCTAACAGGCAATCTTTATTCTGGAGACTCTCAATAGTCCTGGTTGAGACTTTCACAGAGCTGCATTGCAGCCTGAGGCTCTTCCTACTTATTCTTCTTTCCTTCCTTTTCTTCATTCACAGGTGTCAGTCTGCAGGCTCTTCCTGCCTGCTGATTCTCCCTCACCTCTTTATTGTTCACAGGCATTTTACCCAATAAATCACTTGAAAATCCAATTTTGTCTTGATGTCTGCTTTATAGAAGACTCAAAGTGACAATCTGGGAGTAACCTTAGACAGCAAATGGTTAGACAGGGTTTAGGGAGTCCATCACTTACCAACCAACTGGCAAGGGTGACCCCATCCTGAATGGAATGTGGGACACAGGCAGTATTTGACATAAGGTGGAGGCTCAACTGCTGAAGATTTCACTGGTGGAGGCCTGGGAAAAATCCCAGTGTGAAGAACAGCACCCCTGCCTGTATAATAATTTGGGCATTTGAAAGACATCAAGAGAGCAACGCTTACAAGGATGGTGGAGTTGGCTGCTTATTACTAAATTGTATTGATGGCCTGCAGAGAGAGAATGAGAAACTGAAGGCTGTTTACAAACAGTTAAATCCTAAGTGTGAGAAACAGAGGCCTCTCTTGGAACTTACAGAAAACCGGGACAAGTTGGTTACCCTACCATAGGGGCAAAATAGGCAGAAATTAAGAGTGCTGCTTAACATCTACAATTAGAAGAAGGCAAGAATGGAGGGCCAGGAGGCTAAGGGCAGTCATCTCAATAAAATGTCACAATCTGTTGGTTAGTTCCTGAATTTGAGCAAAAGTTCAGATCTAGGTCCCTAGGAGAAGGACTCTGCAACATTGTGGCAAGCATATAATCCCTCCTGTCATTCCCCAAAAGGACCTAGGGCATTTACTTGGGTAGGGCATTTATACTGGGGAAAGGAGGGTACCTAGTCATTTCAAGGTGCTTTGGACCTACGGACTGAGTTGACTTTTATAACTGGAAACCCAAAGTATCATCATGTTCTGTTGGAGTGGGGGCTTATGAGAACAGGTAAGAGAATCCTAACTAAAGTCTGGCTTACAGTAAATTTACTGGGTCCGCAGACCCAACCACCTGCTGGTCATTTCTCTTGTCTCTGAGTATATAATTATAATAGACATCCTTGGCAGTTGAAGTATTGGGTCCTTGGGCTGTTAGCTATCATAATGAGGAAGATCAGCTGAAAGCCATTGAAATTGTTCCCCACCCCAGAAAATATAAAAAATAAAAAATGATATTGTGTCCCAGGGGAAATAGTGGTGATCAGTACCAGTTTGGATCCTATAGAGCAAATGTAGGCTATCACAGCAAGCTTAGCCAAGTAGTAGTAGTCCCTTTTGAAGCTGTGGTATTATTTCTAGGGCAGATTAATAAGGCCTTAGGTGCATGGTTTGTGGTCATTGATTTGGTGAATGCATTCTTTTATATTCTAATCAGAAATAGGGATAAGAAGCAGTTCACATTCACCTTGGAGGTGACAATATTTATTGCCAGTTTTGTCTAAGGACTATGTTAACTCTTCCACCCTCTAATGTAATACATTCTGAGTGGATATGTACTATATCCACTGGATATTCTGCAGAACATCACAATGATATATCAATAATATGCTAACTGAACAGGATGAGCAAGAGGTAGTTTCTATGATAGAGGCCCCGGTAAGACACATGCATCAAGAGGGTAGGACATAAATCCTAGAAGATTCAAGGATCTGCCACTTCTGTAAAGTTTTTCAAGGTCCTATAGTCAGTGGTTTGTGGAGACATCCCCCATCTTGGGTAAAAGACAGATTTCTACATCTTGCATCCCTTGCTATAATGAAGCACAATGCTTGCTGGGCCTTTTTGGGTTTTGGAAGAAACAAATTTCACACCTAGGAATACTGCTCTGGTTCATATCCTAGGCAATGTGTGGAAGGTTGACTACTGTGAGTACAGCCTGGAGAAGCAAGGAGCTCTGAAGCCTTGAGTTTACAATAAGATCACCATGTAGGCCTCTACAGTTTTGGAGCAAGGCCATGCCATCTGCAGCAGAGGACTTTACTTCTTTCAAGAAACAGTCCCTGGTGTGGTAGTAGGCCCTAGTAGAGGCGGAACCTTTACTATGGGGTACTAAGTTTCCATGTGTTCAGAAGTGTCCATCATGAGCTGAATTCTGTTGGACATACTCAGTTATAGAGTTAATGGGCCCAACAGCATATCATCATAATATAGAAATGATGCATTCAAAATCAGACCCAGATAGGACCAGAGGGCATGAATAAACTGCATGAGCTAGTTGCCCAGTACCCATATCACCTACCATGGTTATACCAGCACCCTTTCCTCAGGCTGCACTGGCCATAGAGGGCGTCATGTATGGCCAGCTGAGGGAGGAGGAGAAAGCACAGGCTTGATTTATGAATGGGTTAGCTTGGTATGTGGGTGGAAATTGAAAATGGATGGCTACACTTTATAGCCACATTCAGGGGTGGCCCTAAAAGCCAGTAGAGAAGGAAAAATCTTCCTAGTGGGCAAAGTTTCAAGCAATGTACCTGGTCATTCACTTCGTATGGATGGAGAAGTGACCGGTGGTGAGAATGTATACAGATTCCTGGGCAGTAGCAATGGCCTGGCCAGGTGTTCAGGATCCTGAAGGAAAAGACTGGAAGATTGGAGAAGAGGAGGTCTGGAGAAGAGGTATGTGGAGATGGACATATGAGAGTGGGCACAAAGGGTGAGGATTTTTGTATGACATGTCCATTCTGACCAGAAAGCATTCACCGTGGCAGAGGAACTGAACAACCAACTAGGCAAAAATATTCTACCAGTTGATGTGAGCCATGCTTTGTCATAATCTATTCCAGAATTGGCATAATGGTACATGAATGGAATAGCCATGTTTGCAGAGGTGGAGGCTACACGTAAGCCCAACAGCATGAATTTCTACTTGTAAAGCCAATCTAGCTACTTATTCCTGAATTTCTAACTTATCAGCCACAGAGACCAACACTGAGTCCCTGATATGGCACTATCACTTGAGATGATAAACCAGCAATTTGGTGGCAAGTAAACAACATTTGGGCCCTTTTCATTCTGGAGTGGCCATCAGTTCATCCTCACAGGGATAAATATGTATTGTGGGTATGGGTTTGCCTTTCTTGCTGTCAGAGCCCCAGCCCATATCACTATCCAGGGGCTTAAAGAAGGCCTGATCCACAGGTGTAGTATCCAACTCAACAGTATCCAAACAGGAGACCCACTTCATAGTAAAAGTAGTATGGGTGTGAGTTCATTACCAAGGGATCTACTGGTTGTATTACATACTGCACCATCCAGAGCAGCCAGCCTGATAGAGCACTGGGCAACTTACTGAAGGTGCAGCTTTCAAAGTGCCAGTTCAGAGGCAATATTCTGTAACGATGGAGTGCCATCCTTCAGGATACGGTAAATACACTAAATCAGAGAGCTCTAGAAGCACTGTGCCTAATAGGAAGAATACATAGGTCCAGGAAAAAAGCAGAGGAAGCAGAAATAGCCCCACTTAACATCAATCCTAATGACTCATAGGGGAACTTTGTGCTTCCTGTTCCCAAAACTCTCGAAGATTTAGAAGTCCTGGTCTCCAAAGGGGGTGCTTTTTTTTTTTTTTTTGCCAAGGGTAACAACAAGGGTCCCACTGAACTACAAGCTATGGCTACTCTTTGGGCACTTTGGACTCTTTGTGTCCAGGCACTGGCAGGCAAAAAGAGGAGTCCCCATCTTGGCAGGGGCAATTGACCTAGATCAACAGGAGGAGGAAGGGCTGGGAAAAATATGTGGACCCTAGGTGATCTACTTGGGAGCCTCTTGATAGTTCATTATAACTGTGGAAGGACATGTGCAGCATGTGTAGTGTGAGATGGGTATAATTACAAATAAACATTTCTCATCAGGAATGAGTATTTGGGTCACACCCAGGTCACACAACTAAGATCTGTGGAAGTGACAGCTGAAGAAAAGTGGAATTTGAAATGTGTAGTGGAGGAGTAGGAAAATGAGTAGCAGTTGCAGCCCTGAGTCCAACTGAGTGACAGGGGGTGTAGTTTGTCCCCCAAATCCCCTTCATCTAAGTTTTCCTTCAGGAAGAGAGGTCCAGAGAAAATCACAGAGGAGTTACTCCCAGAACACGGGAGGTGCAAGAGAGAACCTACTAGAAAGACTAGAAAGGAAAATAGGATTGAAGAAATTATGAAGATGATAAGAAATATAGATGCAAATGCTTCTGAAGTTTGAGAAACATCAGGAAATGATACCTATGAAGAAGATGAAGCAGATGACGAAGATGAAGGAACCAAAAAGGAGTCCTTCGACAAAATACCTCCAACAGTGATTAAAAATGGCATTGGTTAACCTCCAAAAATCAAGGTGCAACATAAAAATAATGCCAGAAAAATGCCTCCTAAGCTGGCCTATTGAGAAGCAGCTGCTGGCTAAGTAAATAAACTAATAAAGCATGGGTTGATGGTGATATGAAAATTTTCTAACAGAAAAAAATGTGTGAGACTCTCTGCCTATGACCCAGGCAAAGAGTTTCAGACCATCAACTAAAAATATGCTTAGCTGTGATGCTAAAATCATGAATGCAATGGAGTTGACAATGAAGTGAGACCCACAGAGTCTGAACGAGAAACCACAGGGGTGGATCTGTGATAAGATTATTGATACTGTAGACCAAGTAAAGCCACTTCTATTAAGTCCAATGCTATCCCTCCTTACAACCAAAAGCAAAACTTAAAAGAAGCCATGAAGTTCTTCCAAAGTTTCCGAATGGCTTTTGAGGTCAAAAGAAGAAACCAGCTGCAACTCAATCAGAAATGTGAATACTTATGCAGCCTGAGAAGTTAATTCATCTTGTTTTCCATGCTGTGCCCAAGCCTCATCTCCCAAAACTTCTCATTCTGCATCCAACTTTAACCTGGTTTTTAAAAAAAAGAGAAGATAAAGAAAGATAAAAGGGAAAAATATCAAAATAGTTACCTTAGCATGTCTCTGTAGATGTTCTTGTTTATGTATATTATCTTGTTCCCTTAGAATGACTCAAGTGGTAAGTCTTTGCCTTGTGGCTCCCTTTTGGCCTGGCCAAGACTTTCTCAGAGCTGTGCTACAGTCTAAGGTTGTTCCTATCTAATCTTCTTTTTTCTTCTTCTCATGACTTTGACATGGGTGTCAGATCTACCTCATGATTATCCAGGCATGGTGACACATGCCAATTGTCCTAACTATTTGGGAAGTTGAGGTAGGAGGATTGCTTAGGCCCAGGTGTTTGAGGCTGCAGTGAACTATGATGACACCACTGCACTCCAGCCTGGGTGATAGAGTGAGATCCTGTCTCAAAAGAAAAGAAAAAAAAAGATTGGCATCACAGTCTGAAGGCTCTCCCTGCTTACTGTTTCCTCTCTCTTGTAACTGCCATTTCTCCCAGTCTGTCTCTTGCATGTCTACTTCTGTCTTGGTGGTGTGTCTCATTCTAAGAGGATCTGAACTGACTAAAGTCCAAGGTGTTACAGGATGTCTAGCATCGCTGGCCTCCCCCACAAATGCCAGTAGCACTGTCCCCCCAATCTTGAGGCAACTAATGACACTTTCACTCATTTCTAAAATGCTTCTATTGAGAACCATTCGGAGCATAAGCACAGTTATAAGTAAGTGGATTATAAGTATCAAAGAAGCTATATAGGCTCAGAATTTAGAGGAAATTTTAGGAAATAATCACCTTCTGAAAGTGAAGTTAAGGAAACAAATCAGTATATGGTAGATAAAATTAGCCATCTGTATTAGTAACCCACCTTTGGGATTGACTGCAAATATATTACTTTTGTGATCAGGTGCTTTCCAAGTGTCCGTCAAGTCACATGGATACAGTCTCAGGAAGACATTCTTCAAATGTGGAGGTACTGCGAAATAATCACTAGTAGATAGCATTGTCTAAAAAAATTAGAGAATTTTAATTGTTTGGGAGTATGATGAGTTGGTAGCAGAGATCATTTTTCACTTTGATACATTTACTGACTGATTGCAAATCAGTTGGTTGGGGGTGGGCAAAAAATCTTAGATATTACAATGGGTTGCGGCTCTCCAAGGAGCCACAGTACACAAATAGACAAACAGTATATCTGGTATTTCTTGCTTAAAATTTCATAGGGATTGGAGGGGGGAGAGCAATTAGGAAAATGTATCTAAAATGTCTCTTTTCAGGGGTCAGTTATGAAAATAAGGCTGAGTAATCTGGTCTAGAGGAGGAAAAAAGAGAAAAAAGAAAGGATTAAAGGAAGCAGGAGGGAAAAGAAAAGTAGAACGATGAAAGAGAAATAGGAAAGGAGAAGAGAAAAGGAGAAGGTATGTGAAATTTTAAGATAAAAATAGTTTTGTCTACCACTGAGCCATATGACATATAACTTTTTTTCTTGACATTCTGAAATACAAGCTTATTCCTCTTACATTATTTCTGGCTCTGGAAACAAAGTATTAAATGAAAAGCAATACTAGAATGCTTGTTTATAAAGAATTCCTATATCCTCGAATACTCCCAATTTCCTCACTTTTTCTTATTTAAAATATGAACTTCTATAACAATTTCCTTATTGAGTTCCTAAAGATACCATTATTCCACTCACTTGTAATACAAATTTTGTTGGCATGACAATACTGAAGGCTTTAATTTTATAGCAATTATTTCATCTATCTGCCATAGTAGACTGACCCATTTGTTATTGTTTGAGAACTCATTAAGCTTCTCTGTAGTTTGATTTTATTCCTCAAGACCTTCCCTTTGCTCTGAGTCTGGGTGCACCAGCAACTTTCTGATTACTAGTCAGACTTCCTAGGTATCTTGATATCAGGAAGAGAATGATCTTGCTAGCAAACATTAGTTTTTCAGTGAATAGAAAGTTATAATTTCTATTAACACTTTAAAATATGTTTTATTGTGGTACAATTAACATACAATAAAATGCACATATCTTAAATGTTCAATTTGATCAGTTGTGACAACTTGTGTATCCTGTATAATTACCACCTGGAACAAAATATAAGACCTTTCTTTTACTTAGAAAGTTCCCTTGGACTCCTTCCCATCACTGTCCCCTATAACCCACTTTGGGATTTCTAAAACCAGATTATGTACTATGCTGTGCCTGGCTTCTTCTGTTTATCAAAATATTTGTGAGATTTATTCATGTTGTCAGCAGTTTGTTCCTTTTTATTGCTGAGTTGTATTCCATTGTATGAATAAATAATAATTTTTTAAATGTGTGCTCCTGTTGGTGTATATTTAGGTTGTTTACAGTTTTTGGTTATTATGACTAAGGTTGCTCTAAACATTCTTTGTATGAGTTTTCTTGTGAACTTGTATTTTCATTTTTCTGGGGTAACTAAGTGAAATTGATGGGTCATGTGCTTACGGCCATTTGTATATCTTCTTTGGAGAAATGTTTATTCAAATCCTTTTTCCATTTTAAAACTAGATTATGATGGGCAAGCTTCCTGGGAGTGCTAATAACCAGGCTTGCCACTCTGTGGAGGAGAAAATGTTTTCAGAGATCATTTGTCCCATCTTGAATAGTTCAGGAAATCCCAAATTGGGTGAAAAGGAATTGTCCTAACGCAACCTCAAGAATACTTCTGATTAGTTACGGCCTCTCCTTTAGGACCCAAGTGGGAAACCCAGGCTGGTCTGCGTGAGGTCTCTGCTCTGATTGCTCCAACACAGCCTCCCTCTCAGCTGCCGAGGCTGCTCCTTCCATGGGCCTGCGGGTATCCCTGTTGCTCTTAAGTTATCAGTTCTCGCCTTACCACATGCAACATGTCCTATTCGCTTTTTTTATCACTCTTTCTACCATTCTCAAATGAAAATACGTATGTTCATACAACCTACCTACACTCATTAATGGAAAATTGATTTAATGGGCCCCCCCTAACTATATTATATAAGGATGAAGTACATGAGATTAACTTTTAATAAAATATAGTATGACAATACACAAATATTTGGGAACATTGGGGCAGACATAAAAAAAAACTAAAGTTGTCTAGGTTTTAAAATATACTCAATGTAGGAGTGAGTGATGGTATAATGGGACGTACATGCTTCCTTAGTACCCAGCTTCGACAGTTGTCAATTATCAATAGCCAATCTTTTTCATTCTTAACAGAGGCTACTTTAAAAATGTGGTCCGTGGACCAGCAGCATCAGATTTTTACCTGGAAGATGCTAGAAAATGCCAGATTCACGGGTTAGTTAATTCCAAGACCACTGGAGATCATATGCTCTGGGACGGGGTAGCCAGGAATCAGTTTTAACAATCGTCTCCAGCTTGGTTTGTATACTACTCTGGCGTGGTCTCAGAACCACTTGCTGTATATAACATCCCTACCTTCTCAGGATTTTAAAGTGGAATCCGCAGATAGCACCTAGATATATTATCTATCCCATAATTACTTTTAACTTTTAAAAACTATTAACTTCATACTGTATATCACCTAAGAAATAGTTTAACTTTATTCCGGCTTTTTTAAGTTATTTTAGTTTTTAATATTGGTAATAGATTTAGGGGGTATTAAATTGGTTTTTTGTTACATGGGATGAATGTGCTAATAGGTGTAGCACATTAACATCCTAAAGTTCCACACACTTTGATTAAAACACCTGGGATCCCAGAATATCACACATCCATAGGAGGACACAAGAATAAGGTAGTGAATGGTCTAGGCTGGGTTTATATTGTTTAGGTAATTTACTCTATGAATAATCGAGCTCTAGCAAGACTGATTAGAATAGTGTTAATTGTTTAGTTTTTGTTATCACCAAATAGGGAGGGTAATTATTGGGTGGTAATAATCAGACATCTATAAGTCTGCCTCCAGCAGGCAACAACTGGGTCTGAGTCTACCGGTTTATCCGATGTAGGAAGTGTACTCCTCTGGTCCTGTTATATGACCTGGTCAGCCCTGTGCTGTATTCTTCCTAGACAATTGCTCGATGTAGGGCTTGTCAGCTGTCCACTATGGTGAGAACCATGAAGGGCCAACTTTCCGCTCTCTATGTGGATTATTTTTTTTGTGGGAATATATACCTGAGTAGGACATCCTCCTACTGTTGTGTAGATTGTTTGCCATAGGTGTCTTCCAGGTTGCCCCGCCCAAGGGGTTGCTCGAAAGGAGTACATATACTTTCATTTGGTGGTCATTATCAGATGTGGGGGGAGATTGGCTGTAAAAACAGAATCTCTTAATGCAATTACAGAGGACTTCAGAGCATAAATGTCGGCTGGATTAGCATTACTAGTAACCTCATTATGATAATAATACGCTAAAGTAAGCAATAATTCTCGCTGAGTTAAGTGTACATCCAATAGATGTATATGAGAAGAGGATATAAAGATTTATATTGTCTCTCTGTGAGAGTCTGAAAATGTCGTGTTTTTTAGATTTCTTTTGCTCAGCTCTCTCTCTCGTTTCTTTCCTGCTGTAGATCTCTGTGTGGACTCGTTGACTCTCATGTGCATATTCACCAAATGGACTTTCCAGGTTTTTATATGTCGGTCATGGTATAAGGATATAAGAATATATGAGTTCTCTACATATACCAAAACTCTCTTTCCTTAATCATGGGTTTTTTAAAAAAATGTTTCCTGCCATTTGTTTGTTGGAAGGAAACTAGGTCATTTGTCACATAGTTTCCCATAGGTAAAGGGGATTTGCTAATTGTGCTCCCTGGTGTCATTTGTCATTCCTCTTTTCATCTGTAGTTTACTGGTTTAATCTAGAGCTTGGGTACAATATGTCATAATTCATTAAAAGTTGGGTTTCTTTTTAGTACGCAGTTAGCATTGGAGCATAGGCTCTTGGAACTATAGACCAATAATTAAATTCTTCAGATCGGGAATGTCTTATCATGGGCCCTATTTTTCCTATTTCATTCAATTATAGGCTGGTAGAGTAAGCAAATCAAGGTATACTGGAGCTGTTATTACTCTATCTCAATACAGGTTAAGGCGTACTTATTGGGGTAGGTAGTGCTCATATAGGGTGGTTGACATATAAGCGTGTAAATTAAGATCCTCCAGCAATGTTATCAAGCATTTTATAAGGAATTTCTTTGCACACAATCTAGCACACTTTTTTTATATTCCTAATAGTTCTTAGCAGACACTGATGATCATAGTGCTATAGAGTATTGCTTCCTCTATTATACTAAAAATCATAAGAGCAAAAAGGATTTTGAGACAAGTTTTTTTCTCCCACTCTGTCACCGGATGGGTGAGAGTGGGAGGGTGGGCCTTCATCATAGGCTCACTGGCAACCCCCCGAACTCTTAGGGCTCAATGTATCCTCCTGCCTCAGCCTCAAACATAGCTGGGAGGTGCCAGCCACCACATCTGGCTAATGTTCTTATTTGTTGAGAGACGGCGTCTCACTCCTTGCCTCAGGCTGGTCTCAAAGTCCTGGAGCTCAAGCAACCCCACCCAGCCCCAGAGTG